ATTTTACGATAAAAGGCACCGATTTAGCGAAGATGACGTCATTAGAACCTGTTTATGTGCGCTTGCATCAGGGAATTCAAGGTCAAAAGGTCAATTCAGACGCTGATAAGTTATTGGTCAAGCCTCTTTGTTTCCTTTATTCTGACAGAATTATACAATCAATCAAAACAAGTTTAATACCAGAAGAAAGCTAACGATTAGTACTTTCATTAACCGCTTGCCCCAAAGTCGTTTGACCAAAGTGAAACGAGTAGGAGCTTGCGAGAGCGGCCAAAGTGTGATTGAAACTTGCCATTTGCTCTTCTCCAACGCAAAAAGAGACGACATTGTGCTGGATAAATGTATTTTTTCCGACAAAAGTACAGAAAATTTGCATATGGTCTATGTAACACTAGACTATGTAACACTAGACAAAAGCTTAACATGGTCGTTACATGTAAACGAAGTTGTTAAGAAAGTATCGGGTACGATTGCCTGCATTAGACGTATACGCAATTATATTTCCCGTAAGAATCTTATTACATTATACTTTTCTCTTATCCTACCGCATTTAAACTACTGTAATTCAGTATGGGGAAATACTTCGAAACAAAATCTAACAAAGTTGCAAAAATTACAAAATAGATATGCACGATTAGTTCTTCGTGCCGAATATTTTACACCCCAAAATGTTTTAATGAGTAAATTGAAATGGCGGTCATTAGAGGAAAGAATTACATATCAGAAATGCATCTTGATTTTTAAAATCATAAACGACCTATCACCACCATATCTTAATCCATGTATAAGTAAAAGACCGATATTATATTCTACTCGTTATGCTTTAAACAGTCCATTATTCATTCCAAAGTGTAAAACAAATTTTAAAACGAAAACCTTAGCGGTTTCAGGAGCTAAAATATACAATAAATTACCCTATCATATTAAAAATTGTAAGTCGCTGCAAAGTTTTAAAAAGAATGTCAAAACCTTTCAGTTTCCCTTGTAAACATATTTTCACGTTAATTTGACCTTTATTTATTACATTTCATTCATCTAGTTTTTTCAATTTGATAGTTGTATTTTTTTTTCCTTATAATTTATTGTTAATGCGTGTTTTTCGTTACCTATGTTTAATTATTGTATATACCATGTATATTTTACCTTTGTATGTATGTTTTGAATTCATGTTATTATTGTACATGTTTTTTATGTGAATACAGGGCTCTCTGGGAGAGCAGGCTCAGAAATGAACTTGAATGAGACCACCCTGTTAAAATAAAACTATAATAAAATAAAAAATAAAATAAAATTATATTATACTTTATGAAATGTTAACCGAGTGACTTCCGGGCGCCCCAATGCTGGAAAGAAACGCACATTTTAGAAAATTTCACTTGTTCATGGAAAAATGCTTATTTGTTCTATGCACGCAAATTAGATTGAGCGGATGATACAACGTTTCCATATGGGGAGTCCCTAAGAAAGTGGGGACACTGTGCCCTCTGCCCTCCCAGGAGCGCCGCCTTTGGATAACACCTTGGGGTTTTTTTTTTACCAGCAGACAGTTTTGATTTTACAAAAGAATAATTTAGGGCCGATAGTAAGGGAGCAGATATTAGGGACTTTTAGATTTGCACGTCAACATAGTGGACTGCTACGTGTGACGCCCTTTTAAGGCAGGCACTGGCAGTGCCTTAAATGACGTCGCATTGCCTTAAAGGTACTATGTCCCATTTGCAGGCCAAAAAAAAAGAAAAGGCTAATTTTCAACAGCATTTGAAAGATAATACTAATTTATAACTTTCCTAAAAAAAAGGAGGCTTGAAAATTTCTTTAAGTGGGAAAATAACGACTGTTAGTTGTCTAATCGACTTAGGAGCTATAGAGCCAATAAGTAATAGTCTTGATTTTCAGACCATTGTACCAAATGGCCGTACGTTTTATGCTGCGCAAAGATTCAATCAGTTTAATTTTGGCCTTTGCAAGAAGTGGGTTATTGATATAGACAAATGCTCATGTACCCTTTACAGCTCAGTTTATGTATGTTATTACCAAAGAAGAAAAAAGCCAGTCAGTCACTCAATGGTGTCTGACAGTGAAGTCTAGCAAGTACACGGGTTTCCCTACATAATTTAAAAATTAGGACACTGCTAATATTTAAATTTCACAGATAGGACATACATGACATATCCATAATTCCTGCAAAGTTTTACAGAATTTGAGGTTGGCTGCAAAAGGGACATTGTATCTTTAAAAGGACGTTACACGTAGCAGTCCACTATGTCGACGTGCAAATCTAAAAGTCCCTAATATGTCTCAGAATCTGAAATAGAATTGTTTTGTGGGGCCATTGTTACCTGGTGATTTTCAGTTGGCATTTCATGGGCCGCTGTCTGGCACTCTGTTATTGTTAACTGGTTTTCACAAATCACTCGAAAATCTTCTTTCAAGTGATTAACTTTTTTATCTCAAAAGTTCCTATAGCGTTTGTATCATTCAGTTCAACATGCTTCTTTGAGTACAACGAAATATAAAAACATGACTATAGATGGGTCTCAATTTTACTAAAATGTGTCTACCTTTTATTCCAGATCCAAAATATTGACAGCAAGAAGGAATCTTCTATAAAGGTGGACATCGTGCATTCGAGTCCAGCGTACGAGTTTATGTGGTTAATGTAAGTTGTATTCGAATTATGATGTTTGATATAAACATGATAAAAGTGCAATAATGGCAGTACACCTACCATCGCTTGTTCGTTATATCTCGCTTCGACGAACAGTGTTCTATTCAGTTTCGTTTAATACTACCACACACGGGCCAATTTGATAGGGACATACCTCATTTGAATTGTTTATTCCCTATGAATTTCCTTTGTGTGGTCACACTGCTTTAGCACCTGGGAATACAGTAATCCCCTTTTACAGGTACATGCAGGGGCGGATCCAGCCGGTGGGAAGGGAGGGGCCCCAATTCGTGATAAAATATATTTAGCGGCGAATAAACGGGGGGGGGGGGGGGGGGGGGGTAAGAGGCACTCTTTTTTTTGGGGGGGGGGTCAACGGGGGGAGGGGAATGGTAGGGTAGTGAGCGTATATATTTTACTCAACTCCAATTTTTTGCATCATTTAGGAATTATATTCCAAATATATTTCGTTAATCCGATCCAATTCAACCCACATAGTATTTTGGAGTAGCGTCTTTTATTTTCAGTTACAAAGAGCTTCAAACTTTGCTCCAGAAAGGATGAGAATAAGGGCCACAGCAATGATAACATACTTGGAAACAACAATACAATCCATACTCTAACAAAATAAGTGGGCCATTACAAGATAGATAACTACTAAAATATATTTTTCGGGGGATGTGCCAAATTTCTGTTTAAAAATCTAACATTAATGAGCACAACCTTTTCACTCTAATTTTGTCCGTGTTTATATTTATCACGGTGTTTATTTGTGTTATTTATCTTCATTTATGGTTTCAATGCTGGTGGGAAGTTTTCACGATAACAGAGCTATGATCCGCCCGTAGAGTATAAAACACGCTTGCATACATTATATTTTATAACCTGTCGAATTGTTGCAGCGGCGCACGAAGCGTCGTGATCTTTTAGATCCCTTGTTGACCATACATTGCAAAACAAACGAGTATCACTAGCGATATTATTTTCGAATCTACTATTATTTATCGATTATTCTAAAATTAAACCAAATGCATGATTTGATACTGAAATTAGTCAAACATTTTACTGTCGAAACCCCTTCAGTCTACCCGCCCCCCCCCCTCTCTCTCTCTCTCTCTCTCTCTCTCTCTTTCTCTGGTTCGTTGCAACGTCCAGTTCCGGAGGGAAAAAAAAGAAAATTAATTCTCACAGAATCAAACAAAACTAACACTGAATGTTCAAGATTACAAATAAATGACATGTGCCAAACAATTTTGGAAGAAAATGTATACTGGCTGAGTAATGAGCATAGAAAGACAAGGAAATCAAGGTAGTACTAGCCCCGACACCGTGTGTGTTGTCCCACATATAGCTTTCTGTGTACAGTGCTTGTTACTTTACCAAGACTCGGTCAAATTTATTATGATTTTGATGACTCCAGAACCATGCAGTGCACACCAATACTTACATGCTACATGATAAACTGTTTCTGATCCTTTCCACACCTTTTCTTTCACAATGCAATCGCATTACCAGTACTAAAGTTTATCTTTAATCCCCATTTAACACTCTCCACCCAGGTAAAAATGGGTAACTGACAATTGGTGTGGAAAAATAATAGCTCGGCCCGTAGGAAGAGCAGTATAAAAGATAAAGTTGAGGTCTGGTCATGCGATGGCATTGTGAAAGAAAAGGTGTGGAATGGATCAGAAAAAGTTGATCATGCATGTAGCACGTAAGTATTGGTGAGTACTGCAAGGTTCTGGAGTCATTAAAATCAAAATAAATTTGCCCCAGTCTTGGTAAAGTAACAAGCGCTGTACACAGAAAGATGTATATGGGACAACACACATGGTGTCGGGGCTACTAACCCTGATGTCCTTATCTTTCTATGCTCATTACTCAGCCAGTATACATTTTCTACAAAAATTGTTTGGAAATTTACATTTATTTGTAATCTTGAACATTCAGTGTAAGTTTCGTTTGATTCTGTGGGAATTAATTTCTTCTTTTTTTTAAAACCAGAACTCAAGTTTATCTTTAATCCTGATGTAGTACCCTAGGTATATAACCATTATTTATTCATTTTCAATTTTAGGGCCAACTAGCACATTGTGTGATGAGCACGGATCAGAAGAAGGACGTAATCTTCATTCATCTTCAGACTGCCTCGAGACTCGTTCCTGATCTGCAGCAGATTGCAGGCGGTGGTTGACGGCAGGAAGGAGAATATACCCGACTGTAAACTCACCCTCTCATCTCGTTATACTAACTTACTTAAGAACATTATATCCTTAACCATGAATATGCTTTATCATTATTGTTCCTGAATGAGTATCGATAGGGTTGTTGGGGAAAAAACCTTAAGAAGACAATCTCCCGTCCGATCCCGATTATTTTAGCCCGGTTTATTTTATCATTAACATGATTAAAGGTGGTTTATGATAACTTAAGAAGTTTAGTCAACCTTAATAAAGCTCTGGTGATATCTGTATTACATACGCTAATGGGGATGTGCATTATTGCTAGTCAGCGGGTTAAGTTTCTTTATTGATTGAATATTGTTGATTGCATTTTGTATCATATCAGTGCATATTGAGGTAGGTGAATCACAATGTCGGAATTTGAACGCAGAGTTTCACGCAATCTACAGTGCCCTGTTTGTTTCGAGCTGCTTAGTGACCCGAAGCAGTTATCATGTACACATACTTTCTGTAAGAAATGTCTTAATGATATTCTTAAATGCTCTTCAACAAATTCTCTAACATGTCCCATCTGTCGAAGCGAAACATTTGTTAAGGATGGCAATGTCTTGAATCTAAATACTAATGTTCCTCTTAAGTCTCTCATTGATGATGTGAGAAATAGCCAGCAAGTCTGTGAAACGTGCGACTCAAACTCGAGAGCTGTACATTTCTGCTGTGAGTGCGGTAAGAAAATGTGTAACACATGCCTTGAGAATCACAAAAAATGGCCCCTTAATGACAAGCATAGAGTTGTGAGAGTAGAAGACGTCAGAGAGGGAAGGGTAGTCATCGAAAAAGAGGTGTACTGCCAAGAACACAAAGCAGATAAACAAAAACACCTCTGTACTGATGTGTGTATCACCTGTAAGAAGTTCATCTGTTTAAGATGTAGGTTGCTGAGTCATGAGAATAAAGGCCATATAGTTCAGAATACTGAGGAATACAATGCTTCTACCGAGACACACATTGTATCTCTACAAGCCCAAGGTAAAACGAAGGCTACAACAATCAAGGATCACATGACCTGCATCAAGGCTCAGAAGAAGCGCGTTACAGATCACATTGCCGCCAAAAAGGCTGAAATCGACAAGAGTTATCAAGAATCACTCAAGAAATTAGAAGAGAGGAAAGCAGCATTGATCAAGATGAAAGCAGCGTTAGACAAGCAGATAGATGCTCAGGAAGTGAAACTGTGCAAAAGATTGGATGTGATGAAAGATGTTGATGAGAGGTTGGTTACGAGTATTGAGAGTGCGAGTGTGTTAGCGGGTAATTGCATGAAGGCTCCATTAGAAGGTGATATCATTGTTATTCGTGATACATTGTCTGGTGAGCTGAAGAATGTACTAGATAGGGATGATCCAGAGAAGAAGCTGGCTACGGATGTAGCTGATCGTGCAAAGCAACTGATATTCACACCTAACAATCAATATCAATGTGATCAGTTGAACATTGGGGAGGTCAGGTTCGTGAAATGTGAGTTGGAATGTGATGTAGAACTCTCTAAGAAAGACTGTATGAATGGCATGGCTGCTACACCCGATGGTAGGATGGCAGTGGGATACAGCAATGGAGGAATCGATATCTTCTCTCCTGAAGGTCAGCTGCAGAAGACAGTCCTCAAGGATGTTGGGATCAGTAGAGTAGGATACCTGTCTGATGGTCGGTGTGTCATTCTGAATGACATAGATCGCCTCACACTGTACACACAGGAGTATGAGAAGCTGGATGTAACGTTTGATACTCTGAGTAAAGATGAAGGTGGGTCTGTTAGTCTCACTGTAGACAGTAATGATCTGATCTATGTCGGCTACTGGAAAGCCACGAAGATCCAGGTGTTCTCACCGGCAGGTGGGAAGGCGATCAGGGAGATACCATGCGATGGTTATGAACCTCGGCAGATCACTAGTTATAATGACGTATTGATCATCAAATATGGTAATACAGTAAGAATAATTGAGAAAGAGGGCAATGTAAAACACAAGGCAGAGGAATCAAATGTTTACTCATACGCTGGTGTGACTCAGAATAATTCAATCCTGGTCGCTTGGGTCAAGTATGCTGATGGGTTGGTTAGTATCGATGAGTACACCAGCGAGCTCAAACACGTCCAGACTCTCATCTCTGATCACAAGATTGAGAAGCCTAAGAAACGTAACTGGTACTATATACATGAGTTCCGATCAGGGGAGATTGCTTTCTGCACTCCTGATAGACTCTATATATTCAACTAACCATCACACCAGTCCATGAATAATAACAGTCCAGTATCAGGTGACTACACAATTATGCAATTTACTCATAACGTGATGTATTATGACTTTTAATTACTTAGTATTCTCTTGGAATACAAAATATAATGACATATAATGACATATATTTAAAGTGTATAACACAAGTATTGTATGTCGAAAATCATTTAAAAGTACAGTCAAAATAATGAACTAAATACAGCCCCAAAAATGAGATATTGTAACTTAAAACATATGAACGGTGGGATCCTTTAAATATACACTACTTAGGATAATGCAAAGGTTTGAATGGTTAATCTAAAAGAGTAGTTTTAGAGACACCAAATGATCTGTAGTTGAAATATAACATATAGTATACAATTTTGTAATATACATGCTTGCATTCTTCTGTTGAAAATGGGATTGTTTAAAACAAAACTTTCTGTTTTCATTATGGCATGCTTATCTCTTCATTTCGCTTTAACTTGGTATAGAAGTGTACGTTGAACCCGAATACTATAGTAGATTCATGGACGTGGATTTGAATATTGTAATATGAATTTGCCTTGTAAATAGACCTTTGAGATGCTATCAATACAGAACTGTGCTATATAATTATAATGAGAAATGAAGCCGTTGGAATAGTTGGCTTAAGATAATGACACTGTGTTGTAAACAAAAAATGATAGGGTAACCATAAATCTGTCTTTATTTAAGAGAAAATTAAGGTACTTTTATATAAATTCTTGACGTTGCATTACATTACATTCACATGCTGTAAATTGTATACTTGTAAATATTCCTAATTACCCAATTTAACAAAAATGTTAGTTTGTTTCTTTGTTTATTTATTTCCTTCCTTTATTCCTTCTAATGTTTTAAAATGATATTTCAAATTAAGCAAGTCTGCAAGAAGCTAGCCCTCGGCAGGTATTTGGCTCTGTCGGCTCCTCCACTCTGAGTTTGGTTATTCATTTTCTTTAATTTTCTCACCTTTGTATTTGTATAATTAAATGTATATATATTATGCATGTGTATATGTTCATAATTTGTTTTTTTTCAAGTATAGGTGTTTTTATTGTCGTTGTATATTTTTTGTATGAGTGGAAGTAAACATGAATATGTATATGGCTATGAAGGAATGTTTAATTAAAAAGTAAGTAATTATTATTCTAGCTGATAACAACTAGCTGCTTTGGTGGAATTACACTGTCATGTAACAAAAATGAAGCTATAGAATCACGAAGCTGCATGTTTGATACATGTATATGTGAAAACCTGTATAATTATGTTGCTGCACGTACATCTGTATGGGTAGAGTACCATCCCTGTACACTTATTTCATTGTGTAACTCATGTTCTTGGAGAAATGACATGTTTATAATCTTCAGAAAGTGTCGATTTATACTGAATTGTTATGAGAGACTTCGTTGTGTTTATCCCATGGTTAATATGTTTTCGAAGTTTGAACAGTAAAGGTTCTGTATAATATGAGTATAAAGAAATTAAATTAAAAAAATATATAATTGAAAAAAGCCGAGGAAGAGCACTCTTGTACATCAACGGGTAATTCCGAACTTCGAAGGCTTACAAAGTTATTTAAAAAAAAGTATATAATTGTTAACCTAAGCTTAACGAAAACGCAATTACTCAGCGTATAATATTCCTTCTTTAAGATTAATTTGAGTTTGGGTCAAACGAGTTCATTGTCTTGTAAATGAAAACTTAATTCACATGTAACGTAATATTTCCATTTAATTAAACATATTCGCAATAAAACATGACAAATCACGTGAAGGATACATGTACAAAATGCAAAGAATGAAACAAGTATTCATAATATTATGATAGGAAGACGACCAATGGTAATTCATATCGAAATCAAATCAATTATGTTGACACTGTGAAAGATTCTGCTTAGAAGCAAATGGGGAAAGTTCAGTATGTAAAACACAAGTCTTCATGTATAATGCAAGGTTATGAATTGTCATAATAGAAAATGCTTTTTGACACACAGACAACAACTTGCTGAAGATCACATCGCTGCCATGGCTATATTGGCCTACAAACACAATGTCGACCCATAATATTCAGCTATATATAGTCATATTTTGTATTTTAACAGCGATCTCTTTTAGAAGATATTCCTATTCGCTTTTTTCTCCAATTGACATGCAAGGAATGAGGAAAGTCAGAAATTATTTTTCATTTTTACCAGAACTCAGTTTTCTCTTTGACGTTCTTTTTTGTACAATGTATATTGTTTCGTATTATGAGGAACAGAACAAGCAATGCATATGTTAATGTTTAGACAAATGTACCGAGGTAGCTCAGAAATTATGTCTTGTTTTTTTTATAGAAATCGATTTTTGATTTGATATCGTTTTTTTTTTAATGTGTATTATTTCGTAATATGAAGTACAGAACAAGGAATCTTTATGTGAATGTATAGTCAAATGTATTACAACTATAACCTAAAATGATCTGTATATGTATGAGCAAGTTTAAGTAATTGGGACAAGAATGAGGTACTGTAGCTCAGAAATCATTTCTCATATTTACCAGAACTCGGTTTTTGATTTGGAATTGTTTTTGTTGACAATTTGTATTGTTTCGTAATATGAAGAACAGAACAAGGAATGTATAATTATTATGTGAATGTATAGACAATGTATTACAACTTTAACCTAAAATGTTAGAAGTTTAAGTAATCGGGACAAATTTATCGGCGATTATCTTGAACAAATTATTGCAGGCTGACCCTTTTCAATTCAATTTCGTACACGCCTGATATGTTTGTAGAAACATTGTAAAAACTATTATACAATTTTGTTTTCTTCTTTTTATAACGTGTGTAGGCATCAGTGTATATTTTGAGGCGTAAATAAATCGTTTTATTTGAAAAGTGGTGAATCCCAAGAAACAATTTTGTCACCCTTAATGTAAGAATATGGATCTATTATCAAGGTGCTGCTGCTGATGATGTTGTGATACCAAAACTCCTTTTACATATTGGAAATACTAATTTGCTATAGTGCGTTTTACAGATGACAGAATGTACAACAAACAACTGCCAGTAATTCTGATAATGGTGATGATGTGGTGTTTTCTTGCTATTTTCTGTATTTTGTTTGTTTTGTCGGGGGGGGGGGGTATTTAAAACAAAATTATTCTTGAAACAGTAACCAATGAGGAGAGCCCTCATACAAGTTACAAAAGCAAATACTTTGTTTCAGCAATCCAAATGCATTGTTAATGGTCTGATGTTACTTTTGTAAAAAATTAAACAAATACATAAATAGCGATAATGGCAGTGGTTGTGTTGATGATGATTGTGATGTAGTATAATTGATTGCCTAAAGCTCTGATGTAAACGGAGTCGAACTAAGATGATTATGGTGATGATGGTTATGAAGATGATGATGATGATAATGACGATAATGATAGAAGAATAATAGTAACGACAGTGGTACCTTGACAAAGATAGTGATGGTGATAATGATCCCGGATGATGATGATGAGTGAAAGGAGGATAACGTTGGTGGTGATGATAATGGTGATGATGATGATAATACTGGTGATGGTGATGGTGAAGATGACGATGATAGTGATGATAGTGGTGGTGATGGTGATGATGACGATGAGGTGATGGTGATGATGATGATGATGATGATGATGATGATGATGATGATAATACTGGTATTGATAATTGTGAAGATGATGATGGTGATGATAGTAATGATGATAATACTGGTGATGATGATGATGATGATGATGGCGATGTGGTGATGATGTTGATGGCGGTGGTGAGGGTGATGATGATGATGATGATAATACTGGCGGTGGTGATGGTGAAGATGACGATGATGGTGACGATAGTAATGATGATAATAATGGTGATGATGATGATGATGACGATGATGACGATGTGGTGATGATGTTGATGGCGTTAGTGAGGGTGATGGTGCTGATGATAATACTGGTGATGGTGATGGTGAAGATGACGATGATGGTGATTTTTTTTTCCTCCTATCATCAAGCGAGGTTTTTATTTCCATAATTTCAATACATGTTTACATTAATAACTCAATGATTGAGTGAAATATAACATAGGCTAACAATTAAAGTATATATTCCACAACTCTTCCAGCTTAGTATTATTTTCTTTACTAACACATTCATATCTTAAAAATAATCTTAGCAACGACTTGAATTAAAAAAACAAAGTATGTGGGTAGTAAACAGAACCATTAATAATCTTCTTAACGTTACATTTATAAATTGCTTATTGCGCATAATAAAAATAATATTGTGGAATGAACATTTCCTATTTACAATGTCCATACCCTACAACTATTAACTTTTGGTCTGTTTGTATTTCTTTCTGGAATATGTTAAATATCAAATATTACATATTATTTTCCAAAACAAAGTCACATCTTTGCAATATAACATAAAGTGAAAAGTTGAGTCAACTTGTCCACAAGAGTTGCATAAATTATTATTCACAATTTGCCATTTACAGTCATCATTTTGAAAGTTTTCTTTTGAGGCAATAAACTTATGAATCATCTTGAAATTAAATTGTTAACTTTATTATTACGAATTTGCTTTAATTTAATTAAAATAACATCCTTCCAAATAAAGTGACATTATCCAAATCTAAAAATATTTGGTTCACTTGACTTTTTACGTATTAACAAACTATGATGATGATGATGGTGATGATAAATGAAACTTTTTTTTTTGGGGGGGGGGAGCTAAAGGGTGAAACAAAAACTGTCCTACCCCCCACCAACTGAACAAAATATCGGACGGCATAATTTTCCAATTTCCAAGACAAAAAAAAAAAGACAAAAAAAAAAAGGTGCTCTTACCCCCTTATTCAGCGGCTGGCTGTGTCGTTGCGAAGTTGTCGGCGCGATTTTCACATTTAACCCCCCCCCCCCCCCCCGCCCTCGAAAAAAAAAAATCCTGCGTACGCTACTGGGTAGGAGGACGTATATGACGGGGGGCGCGGGGGATGGAGACTAGATTTCTTTGGCAGGGTGCACGTGGGGGGGGGGGGGGTGCACCAGTACCCGTACCAGTTTACATATAAAACATCCGTTTTCCTATGATGGTATAAACATCATGATGATTCAATTCCATCTTTCCATGGGTCGGTGCTTGTGAAGTAGTCTAGTTATGTTTTACTCAACTAAGAATAATACCTGACTTTATTTAGCGCCCACTTTGATCGAGTCATTTGGTGTCATGTCGTAGTACCGTACGCGACTTTGCGTTTTACACCCTGGCCTGGACATTTTCCCGGTAAATAGCAATGAAACTGCTTGAATGAGTCTAGTCTACGCTCCTCGATCGGGCGCGCCAGTTCCAAATCGAATCGTACATGCACAGACGTACGTCGATGCAGCATTTATACACACCGTACGCAGCTGCAATACTGAAGATTAAGGGAGAAGATATAGGATTTCAAGTTCAGAACAACAAGTTAAGAAGCTTGCTGCACGATGGAATTCATCGAGGATGATGACGGAGTGGCAATGCAGACGCCTTTGCGGGTATGAATACTGTAAATCCAGTTTTTAATTGTAGTTATATGAGTACGATTAACTGTAACTGTTAGGCATCCATAGTTAGCAAAACTAAGTAACAACTTGGATTGGGATATGTAAATTCTAGATGTTCGACTTTGTACAGGTAAATGATTATATTAGTGTTACGGTAGGCCTACTGTTTTCTTGAAATTCAAACATTTTTAACTTTTCATGTTAGTTGTGCACCAGCACCACATAAATGCTTGGGAAATTTCATATTTGCACTCGTTTCAAGCTTCAATTGCCAAGATGCAGTTTACAAGTACATGTACTAGTATATTATAAAAAATGGTGAATAAATCACAATATCTCTGTGGAGTATCTAAATAATAATTATAATATTGGATGATCAATTTTCGCGAAATACGTGAAATATTGTTACTCGCTGAAGAAAAATATTTTCACGTATCATCCATTATTATGTGTATTCAGTTCGTTATCTCCAAAGTAAAGTGCGGTGCACGCCTCTGCGCCCATGAATCCGCCTATGTTCAGATCTCTTTTTATCTACATGTGCATGTATTTTCAAATAAAAATGTCTTATAGTCATTTCTTGCATCTAAATCTTAACACACTGTCAAATTATCTGTTCAAATTTCTACTATTGTTTGCTTTCACTTTTACTACATATTTCTTCTTTATATAACTATTTATGCATACACATACTCCTGTATCTTTTGTATTACTTCTCTGACATTGAAGGATTAGATTACCTTCACGAAAAAAAAAGTATATGAATGTAAAGCAGTAAATAAAGTGCAAATGAATTCATGTAAAACTGGTGTATAATTTCCTTTATATGTTATGTGTCTGTACATTACACTAGACAAAGTGATGAATGGAAAAAGAGAGAAAGAGAGGGGGTCTTAGAAACAAATATCATGAATTGAGAGCTAGAGAGAGAGAGGTCTTAGAAACAAATATCAAGAAATGAGAAAGAGAGGGGGGGGGGGGGGTCTTAGAAACAAATATGAAGAGAGAGAGAGAGGCCTTAGAAACAAATATGAAGAGGGGGTTAATGAGAGAGAAAGAAAGAGGGGTCTGAGAAATACATACGAGAGAGAGAGTGGGTCGAGAGAGAGAGGTCTTAGAAAACAAATATGAATAGAGATGGGGGGGGGGGGGGCGGGGGAGAAATGGGTCTTAGAAAACAAATATGAAGAGAGATGAGGGGGGGGGGAGGTCTTAGAAAACAAATATGAAGGGAGAGGGGTCAAGAGAATTAGAGAAATTAGGTCTTAGAAACAAATGACATGAATTTAAAAAATGAAAGACGTGATCCCACAATAATAGAAAATGGTACGAGTGCAATATTTAAATCACAGTTTATGTATTACATTACCATTACACATATTATGTCGAGTGTAGTCTGTGTATGTGTCGATATGTGTACACGTGTGTTAGGGGGGGGGGTCCGAATCAGCAAATGGTTTGAAAGTAGGCTACACGTCAAAAATTGAAACCCTGAAGAAGGCGGAATTAAACCACAAAAACCATAATATTATTTGGTTTCTCTCTTTCCTTACTTTGATTAATTCCTTCTCTAATTTCTCTCTTTCTTTCAAGTTAGTTTTTGTTTTCTCTCTCTGCTTATGACATTCTTTGTTTCCTCTCTGTTCTTTAATTATTTATTGTTTTTCTCTATTTCCTTCTGTTGTTATTCGTTGTTTTTCTCTCACTCGTACGTCTCGATACAAAAGTACATGTACCGCGTACCGCGACACTGGACATATAGGACGTACGTTGAGCATTGCAGAAGAGCTACGTGCGCGCGCAATATCTTGTCATGGATAGACTTTTCCCAGTCGGTTCCTTGAAATTTATTGGGAAAAGGTCCAGGCCAGGGTGTAAAACGCAAAGTCGCGTACCGTACCATATCGTACCGGCGCCTGTACACACAATGTAGGTATGTAGCATATGGTGCATGCACTGTACTGGCTGCGTCGGGAAGTTAGTGTAATTTGGGTTACCTGTATTTTGGTGTACAGATAAGCTACAAGAAGGCATTTTCAGACACCGACAGTGGAGTATTTTGGAGATAATATTTAATGCAATCTACACCTTACAAGACTTCTTTCGGCACTGGATCAGGTAAGATACTGAGTTAATATCTTAACGTTTTCTTGAGTGATCTGTCCAGATATTTCTAACCCGTTACTCGCTAGGAATTAAATAGTGACGCCCTGCTACTGCTAGCTGCTCCTGCTCGCACCGCACCGGTACCCTTCTAAAACACTGCGCCGAGCCGGAGCCAGCGAGTGTGAAGACTGTGTAAGTGGGCGGTAGCTGTAGGCCGCACTTGACTTGGCTCCTGACCTGGCCTGGCGTGGTGGTAGTAGTAGTAGTACTCTACTGCTTGGCAGTTGGTAGTTGGAAGTGACTATTAGGCCAGTAGACGCCAGCGTTTTATAACTTATAGACTAGATCAAGAAAAGATCAAGAAAAGATCATAAAATTAGTCTAATATATGACACCAACACACTGCACTCGTACTGAGATTCCTACATGTTGTTGTTTTAGTTTACTTTTATTTAGTTTTTATTGGCGTGTATCATTCATTTATGAATATTTACGCCAAATTCAAGTTGCATTAAACATAATTAATGAGAAAATAATGCGACTTTGAGAGAGAGAGAGAGAGAGAGAGAGGAAAAGAAAATGTGTCTTACATACATGCAGGGAGGTGTTTTAAACATGTACATGTACATGATGTCTCATGTACGTAGTTGGCCTATAAGTACTTCCTACTAGTACTCCTACTCCTACTAGTTGTAGTACAGTGCAATGTTGGTACATGTACATGTATATGACCAAACGGAACACGTTTACTGTTCAAACTTGTGTCAGGGAATTTATGCATAATTTGGCTCACTTTGTCCAGTTGGGTGGTCGCATTACATACATGTAACCTTTCTTAAAACGAAAACGGAAAATCATGCAACCTTTTGTAGATTTGCCAGGGGTTTTCCACAAAGTGTTGGGTAAATTGGACCATACAGACCCTTTGTAGATGAGAGGGGTTTATTGGGTATAAACATGACCAGCCGACCCAACGTGATGACCCGATGATTCTGAGTATGAAGGGGTGACCAAAGTTCGCGCACATTTTAGAACATATTACAAAATGTGATATTCGATCTATGATTTCTCACATTCTACACAACTTTATTTATTTCAATTATTACCAAATGGACGGCAAAGTTTTTTACTACAGATTGGTTCAACTAGAAAAATTTACCGTCGAAGGATTTCGGAGATATCGCGATCTAAAAATTCGATGTCCGATCGTGCGTGCGCGCTGCATCTAAAAAAGTCATAAAAACAATGAGACCTAACTTCACGCACGGTGGTTTACAGTTGATTTATCAAAAAATGCGATCCATCAAAAATAAGGTAATATCATAATTTGCAAGACAAGATATCGTACAATCAGTTAGTACCACTCTTTACTTACAATTTTGAGGATTTCTGATCTCAAAATGAAGATTTCCAGACCCTTATCGGTAAGTTGATAATTTTTCGGAACGGACGCAAATAACTGCAAAATTTGCCGATCTTTTGTCAATATTTTCACAATTTCGCACCCAATTCTAAAGAAAATTTCGTTTCTGGGTAATTTTATGACCCTCTTTCCATTGGTGATATCAGATTTTCGAAATCTTACCGATTTTTTGAGAAAGCGAACTTTGGTCACGCGCGAACTTTGGTCACACCGCCATACACTGTAAGCCCGTACAAAATCGGTGAAAAGGAAACATTGGAAGAGGTCAACCTGCATGAATATTACATGCAACCCTCATAACTGAAAATGTTATGTAAGTTTTTAATTCACTAGCCTCGAATGGGATACATTACATGGGATGGGATGAGTCATTTTGTTGAGGCAGCTCAAGCACATGGAGTAAAATTATCTGAAAGTGATTACGATTATGCAATATAATTGAATACACATGTTTACCCATATACATGTACATGTACATGTACTGTACTTAGCCTTAAACCAAACTAAGGTACTACAGTGTATGTCCCATTTGCCGCCAACATCAAATTCTGTAGAACTTTGTACGAAATATGAACATGTATAGAACTTAGAAGGGACATGTCCTATCTGAGAAATTTAAACTCTAGCAGTGTCCTAGCTTTCACGTTATGCAAGAAAACCTTTCTAGACTTCATTGTCTGACACTATTGAGTGACTGATTGGCTTCTTTTTTTCTTTGGTAATAACAAACTTGCATGCGCGGAATGTATGTGCTGCCCATGCATACTTTCTCTTTGCCATATTGAATCAACGATTTACAACATGGGACGAATTGGGTTAGGACGAGGAATCACCCTTTTTCCCATAGAAGACTTCTTTAAATTATAATTTCAGGTGGTTGAACGGATGCCCAGAGGAGTTGAAAAACATAGTAAGTCAAAATTGTAATATGACCCAACCCGCTGTTTGAATCGTTTTCCTTAGCAGGCTTTGGAGCTCCGACGACTTTGCCGACGGAGCTCCCTGGAGTTAATATACTGTATAGACTGAGCTTTAAATGGTACATGAGCATTTGTCTACATCAACCCACTTTTTGTAATGGCCAAAAATTAAACTGTTTGAAACTTTGCGCAGCACAAAATGTATGACTATTCGGTACAAGGGTCTGAAAATCAGATTATTTACCTCATGGATTGCAATCACTAAAGTCGATTTGACAAGTGACAACCAACGGTTGTTATTTTCCCACAAAAAGACATTTTCAAGCCCTTTCGTTTTTAGGGAAGTTCTAAATTAGTGGAATGCCTGTGGAATTTAAACTTTTCATTTTGGGGGCTTGCAAATAGGACATACAGTACATGTACATGTAGTACCTTTAAGGGCTACAATGTAAGTGATTAAAGGGATAATATGAAATATGATATTGATATCACTAAGCCTTGACTGGCACCCATAGCCCTGCGCGGAGAGGCAGGTAAACAAACTTTAAATGCATGCATCCAAAATCACCCCTTCCCACATCCGGGGGTTCACTCTTACAGGCTGTGCACAACAGTGTAATGAGGTACCCGAGTACACTCCCAGGCTTACAAGCGAATACTTGGAATATTTGGACGCCATGTTTTTTTGAATTTTTTTGAATTTTGTTGAACTTTTTGATTTAAAAAAAAAAATTTTTGTTGATTTTTTTTTGCCACCACCATACCACTGGAACAGTATTCCAGGTCTGTCGCCGAAAACGCATGCAATTTTACTTCGAGTTGCAGTTGAAGGCACTGATTTAATAATAACAATAACAGTAAACAATGCTGTTTTAAAAACCAAAGATGGCAGAATAATCCATTTTCCTCCAAGTCCAAACAGAAATCCGGACATTTGGTCCCAGTTTCTGAGTGGTGAGTTTGACAGTGCTTGAGTTGGGAAACATTTTTACCGATGGTACCATGCCAGCGGCCGCTGCTCTCCCTGGCACAGGTAAGCGTCAGCCTGGACAGTGCCAGGTGACCGGGATTTTTTTTTTTTTTTTTTTTCCCGGCCGAATATTCGAGTACGAGAAATCGTTCGAGTAGTTGTCAACAGTGCGGGTACTCGAGCATTCGACTACTCGTTGCAGCCCTAGTTCACTCCTAACATTTTTTTTTGTTTGTTGGGGGGGGGGGGGGGGGGGGGGGTTTGGCTTTAAAAAAAAAAGAGTAAATAGTTTTTAAAAGAGAAGGAGGCGGGTAGTGATGAGAAACACTTCATTTTGTTATTTGGCCTAAAAAGAATTTGAAACCGGTCAAAAAATAAATATGAAATGTATGTAAGATTTTGCTACCGGAGGGTTGGCAATTTGCATGTGTTCCTGATAATAATTAGTAAAGGTGCAAATTACATGGGATATTTACTGCTGCAGGGGTAAGCTTACGCTGACTAGGAAACCCAGTCTGACCATGGCTTACGTGTACATGTGTAGTTCAAGCAGAGATTTTTTACAATATACACATGTTATACAGGAGTTGCAATTTTTTACTCTTTTGATATTCACCAAACCATTTTCTTTTCTTGTACATGTACATGTAGAAAGTGAATGTGAGTGCTAAAGTTCTTGAGGTAAATTTGACTGGTATTTACTTTTTTATTTTTTACAAAGGGTCCACATAAATACAGCAAAGTGTACACTTGTTAACTCCTTTTTGCCATCAATGAAAAAATAAATGTATTTAACTGTACATCTACAATGTACATCAGATCATTTGCAACATACAAAAATTGTGTGTCACATTGCAAATCCCTCTGTCACTAGATCATTGATGACAACTTGTAGATTAATTAATCCCCTCCTCACCGCTCCTACTTCGTATTTGAGATGATCATGATTTTTAAACAAATCGACAATCCCATCATCAGGTCCTCGCTGCGTACATACGCATACATGTGTACCTCCCATGCAAGATAAGCCCATCGATTACAGCAAGTGTCCGCAAACATGCTTACGATTCTAGTCATGTATGCGACCATCTTTGTGCACTGTGGAGAGTACATTATGTACACACTTCCATGGCCTCTCGATGCACGGAGAATAGGCTACACCACCTTTGCTCAGTCTGCATGCACAGACCCTTATTTGGATCCTTCATGTAACAAAAATTACATCAAGCCTTCAAGCGATTTTTGGAAGCAAGAATCACCAACATGAATCACAAATTGAAACGCCGTTAAATAACACGGTTACTGCGGGAAAGTATTCAAGCGATTTTTCATCAACATCGATTCTCGCTCATTTCAAGCCCAGCTAATGTACTGCTCATCGCACTGCCCATTACGGTCGACTGTCGGTCAAACCGAATCAGGATTGAGATCTCTGTTCGTTCAAGCCGAATCACATTATAAAACGCATCTTTTTCAGCGTTTCATGTTTGTTTTTTGAAACACGTTTATTTTTATGACTGACTAAAATTGCTTGAAACCGCTTGAACGCAACCGTGTTTTAAACTAAACATCTTTGAAAACCGTGTTTCTAGGGTGAAAAAGTGTCGCTTGACACACGGAATGAAACCGTTTGTAATGAGGCACTTAAAACAAAGATTTGTGAATAAAAATTGATTACATTACGAAAATGGCCTATTCA